GGGGGGCGAACAGGTGCAGAAGGTATACAGGGTGATTAAGCTCAAGTGAATTTTTTGAGCGTATAGTTTACGACCTAAAAGTCTGCTAAATATCACACATGTAGGTGCACGATTTGCTCAAAATTTCATGCTTCATGCCACCTTTTTGCTTCGTTCTCCCGAACAGATTGAGATGGAGCGCTAATTTTTCCACCAGTGAATAGAGGACTAGTGACGCTCCAGTAGGCCTAGCAGCGTTGGGACTAGAGACGTCACAACCAAAAGGATTGCGTTTTAGAGATTTGAATCTTAGCCGAATTTGTTTATTAAATCTTTAACAAAGTATCAACATATAGATAGTATAAACCTATTCAATCTTTCATATATATATATTACCACAGATTAATGTTCAGTTTATAGGAATTTTTGATACAATGAGGACACCCTGATGCAAAGAACCCCATCCCAACTCAAATCCTTGTTTAAAAATGTGCAGATAGCGACGATGGCCCTGGACCTGCTGCACCAAAGTGGAAAATTCCGGATCCAACACCTCCCTGGTACCCCTTTGAGACTGCGCATTGGCCTCCATACGGGTCCCTGCTGCGCTGGCGTGGTGGGGCTTACGATGCCCCGATATTGCCTGTTTGGGGACACCGTCAATACGGCTTCCCGTATGGAATCCACAGGTAAAACTGATGAGAGGAAGTGGCTTTTTCGCAATTCAATTGGCTTGTTCAGGAGCCGCCTGGAGGATTCACATGTCGGAAGCGACCAAGTCGCGACTGGAAAAGGCCGGAGGCTACCAGATTGAGTATCGCGGCCCTACAGATATTAAAGGGAAGGGAATGATGGATACTTACTGGCTGTTGGGCAGTGAGGGGTTTAGCAAAGAGCTGCCAGTACCGCCGTCTATTGAGTAAGTAGCTCTTTAATTCGAAAATTATTGTGTGTGAGGCCCTGTACTGAATCTACACTGTACAATTGTTATTAGTATTATATTTTCCTTTTCTGGCTGCCGCTAACAGGGAGAGCCACGGGTAGGTCCCAGTCCATTACTAGCGGTTTTTTTTGCAAATTTAGACTCCATTTGCAGATTAGACGAGAGCCTAATCATCAGCACCCTCACTCCGATCCCGACCCTGAAAGAAGATTCTCTGGCTGACTCAGTTTCGTTGGACTCCAGCACGAGGCACATGAGTTTCAGCGAGGGACCCAGCAAAACGCCCAGTCCCAACCCCACTTTCATCAAAACCATGGAATACTCGAAATTTGCCACCCTCACGCGCCTGCACCATGATGATAAGTGAGCAAATCGACAAATTGCACACAAAATCCTCCATTTACAGTGGAATGGTTTCAGGTCAAGTGATCGCATAGTGAAGAGCACTTCGAGTGACGCTCCTCTGATCCTGGGGACGCCAGTTTCCGCTTCAGAAGTGGCTGCTGCTTTACTGGGAGCCTCCACCAGCTCCTTGTGTCCCTATAGAAGAGGACCTCGATCCACCAGCAAAATACAAGTGAGCAAATATCAATTTTCAAAAGTTTTTGCTTGTGAATTGTTGAAGAGCTTTTGTCCAATGGTGCCCCTATTGTGGGTGATATGAATGTTTAGGTTTGAGCAGATTGTGATCCTGGTAACATTAGGAATGAGCTTCTTCCCTTTCTTCCCCTTCATTGAGGTCTTTGATTTTGCGAGTCTTTTGCTTCGGTTTTTGTAAGCTGCCAGGCTTGAATGAAGATGAATTGAAGAATGAAGACCAGCTTTAAAAAATTGATATCTCCAAAGTGGTCGGACTTGCCTTAATTAGCAAAAACTTCGATTCATAAGTCGTAAAAGTTTCATTTTCTATCGTAAGCAAGGAATTTTTGACGGATTTTCAAACACGGTTTTTTTGGAGTCGTTTTATTGCGAAACCCAGCTTTAAAAAATTGATATATCCGAAGGGAGGGGAAATATAAATGTGATCCGTCTTGCCTTCATTAGCAAAAACTTCGATTTCTCAGTCGAAAAAGTTTCATTTTTCTATCGTAAGCAGGGAATTTTTGAAGAATTTTCAAACAAAGTCTTTTTTGGAAGCAATTTTTTTAAAAACCGGATTTAAAAAATTAAATTCTTAGCACTGGGTGGAAACACAAATGTGTCAGTTTTTGCATTAAATAGGAAAATCTTTGCTTCGTAAGTGACAAAAGTTTCATTTTTCTGTCGTAAGCAGGGAATTTT